GGCACGGATGCTTTTCTGCAAAAGCACTTTTTGCGAAAAAACATCCGTGCCAATCTAGACGCGCTTTTCCACAAAAAAGCCCCGATCGCCATTTTCGCGATCGGGGCTTTTTTGCGGAAAACAAATCTGAGCTCTCTACACTGGCCCTTTCCAAGGCCAAAATATCTTTTTTGAGGTGAGGAGACCACATCTGTACACAGTATTCAAGATGTGGGCATACCATAGTTTTATACAGGGGCAGTAAGATATTCTGGGTCTTATTTTCTATCCCTTTCTTAAAAATTCCTAACATCCTATTTGTCTTTTTAACGATGCTGCACATTGCATGGACGTTTTCAGAGAACTATCCACAATAACTCCAAGATCTCTTTCTTGATTTGTTGTAGCTAAATTAGCCCCCATTATATTGTATGTATAGCTGGGGTTATTTTTTCCAATGTGCATTACTTTACACTTATCCACATTAAATTTCATTTGCCATTTTGTTGCCCCATCACAATGTGGTGAGATCTTTTTGAAGTTCTTCACAGTCTGCTTCCGTCTTGACTATCCTGAACAGTTTAGTATCATCCGCAAACTTTGCCACCTCACCGCTGACCCCTTTCTCCAGATCATTTATAAATAAGTTGAATAGGATTGGTCCTAGGACTGACCCTTGGGGGATACCACTAGTTCCCCCTCTCCATTCTGAAAATTTACCATTTATTCCTACCCTTTGTTTCCTGTCTTTTGTCTAATGGTGGAAGGCAGTGAATCTATGGCAAGTCTTGACCATTATGGACCAATCCCTACCAGTGAATGACCCACAGAATGAGTGAAAGGTCTACCGGACCTGAGGAATAGAGGATGAGAGAATTTAGAAAACAAAACCTTTCCAGAGATTGGAGCGGTGATGGCCCTGAAGCATGAGGGTCTCAGTAATGGGGAAGATGCCCAGCAAGGCACTGGAAAATGGGAATCACAATAAAATCTCAAGACAGGGAGGCCTGTGGCTTCAAGCTGAGTCAGAGCAATAAGGATGGATGAGTGAACTTCCCAGAACAAGCCACAGAAGACTCCAGTATCAGTCCTCAGCCATTCTTGCCAAAGGATGTTTGGTTAAGAGGCTAAGGACAAAAGAGGTAAGCATGGGCCACCACAATAAGGGATGCACTTGAGAAATGAGAGTCAGTATGTGGTACAGAGTAAGCAGAAAAAGTGGAATTTTCCAAAGCAGTGCAGAGCTTCTTTTAATAGCCTGACTGGTACACATCTCTCAAGACCTGATACAGGGCCACCTCTTCCATTCCATCATGTGAAGTTATGGGTGGCATGTTCAGAATACACACTCTTGTCATGTAGTGAGAGAGGTGGCATGGCTGAGACTCAGGCTTTGGATGGAGAAAGGATTGAGAGTCGTATGGCAACCCTCGGGCACAAAGTTGTGCGGGTGGATTGAGTTTGGATGAGGGGTAGCTTCCTCTCCTGCGGAGGCCTAGTGTAATTAGCTTACTTGTTCATTACAAGATATCCCACTCTCCCCCCTCCTTCCAGAATGAACTGGAGGAAAAGCATCAGGTTATATTTAGAGGGAGAGAGACCCAGGTCAGCAGCTACCCAGTAGAAAACGCTGTGTTACCCTGAATAAGTAGGAAAAAGGAGTGTCACGGTACAGGGCAACAGCACCGGTATTTTCCTTTTGTGGTCCACCTAGGGAACCCGCTATTCCTGGCCATCACCTTGCACTGAGAATTGTGTTTTTCTCCCCCTTTGCTGGTTTTTTTCTGGGCTACATAGTTTCCTGCCCACATTGTGTCTTTCCCAGCAAGGTAAGCTGCATATGTAGGCCTGCTTTGCCTTGTGTTTCTGAGGCAGTAAACTCGTAGTTGAGTTACCACACTGCTCTTTCTAAGCAAGCAAGTATGTTGCTAAGGGTAAAACATTGAAGATAAAACACATTAAAAACAATCCCACAATGTACAAATATGCTAAAAAGCCAGAGATCACCTCCTGATTCCCGCAACCGTTTGGGCCTGAGAGATTTTCTGTGGTCACAGGTCCCTAATATCTGTTAGTTCAAAACAAACACAACCTTACATCTATGAATCCCTCCTTCACCCAAATCATGCCTTTGATCTGCAGACATCATGAATAGGTAGCCAGCCAGACATGAGTTTCTCTTTAAAGCATAGCTTCTAAAGGATGGGTCTGGAGGTGGGTAACTTCCATCCCCTCTTCCCAGGCATTTTCTAGGAAAACCATTTCCCTAAAAATTCAATCTTCTTTGGCCCATTGTTATCAAATGGGCCTTTGAAATGCATAACACTCCCCTGGGTTTCCCATGTAATCCCACAATAACACATAAACGCTTGCATTTTTAATACAGTGAACTCCTAAAATACTTTAAGGGTTCTTCAGGATATTGCAGGAAATTGCCATATGTGTCACAGAGTGCAACATCCAGAGGCCATTTGGA